GACGTTTTAGGCCGAAAATCATAGCTGTAGCAGGTCCAGAAGGGTTGCAGGCCTCAGAACCCACCCGCGCGGTCCGTACAAAAAGAAGTGTGGTTGCGGTATGTGATGTGCGGACCGCACACAATTAAGTGTGGTCGCGGTAGGTGTTGTGCGGACCGCACAAAATGCAGTGCGGCCGCAGTGGGCAACATTTCACTGGTCCTATTTCGGAAGCTCATTTCTTTTGATCTACAAGGAATTTGAGATGATTCAAAAAGTTGTAGCCCTTTGTGTCTAGTTTCCATAAAGGTAAAGATATCGCAATTTAGACATCTGTAGCGAAAGTTATCGCCAAAATACTAAAGCATGTCACTGTAGAGGAAAGCATGTGCGGCCGCGGTCATTTTTGTGCGGACCGCACTGGTTTTGTGCGGACCGCGGTCGATTTTGTGCGGTCCACGGAGGTTGAAATCTGTGGGGTACTCTATAAATATGAGGTTTTGAGTTTTATTTGATATTTTGACCTAGAGAGATCGGATTTTGACAATTTTTCGAAGGTTTTTCAAGAATTTCATCGGGGTAAGTGATTCTAACTCAGATTTGGCTAGAGTACATGAATATATCATTGAATTCATCATTTAATTCGTGATTTGGGATGGAATTTGGGAAGAAAATTGTGAAATCTTTCAAAAATGTAAAATGATAATTTGATAGACCAAATAGTATCGGAATTGGATAATTTTTGTATGGTTAGACTCGTGAGAGTATAAGGATTCTAGTTTTGTGAATTTTGTCAAGTTACGAGATGTGGGCCCGGGAGTCGGGTTTGATCAATTTCTGGAATTTTGTGGTAATTCGATTGTTTTCGCTTGGGCTTTGTTCCCTTAGCATATTGTGACGTATTCGTTTTGATTTTGGATAGATTCGACGTGCGTGGAGGCTGATTCGAGGGGCAAAGGCGTCGCAAGTTAGAGATTTAGCCGGTTCGAGGTGAGTAATGATTGTAAATGATGCTCTGAGGGTTTGAAACCCCGGATTGCACATCTTAGTGCGATATTGATGTGAGGCACACGCTTGATGACGAGTGTGGGGTCGTGTACTATTGGGGATTGTGACTTGGTCCGTCCCAATTGATGATTTTACCGCGCATTTGACTGAAAATTATATGTTATCATCATGATTTGGGTTGATTGCTATATTTGGGCTTCGTGCCAACTATTTGAACCCTTCGGGGATTTTTATTACTATTTCCTCACTGTTTTGACTTACTAATTGAACTCAGTCATGTTATTTTCCATTGTTTTACTACTCAGCCATTTTTACTCCATTTTGAGACTTAAATGATATTTTAAATGATGTTTTGGGCTGAGAAATACTGTTTTACTAATGCCCGAGGAGATTGTGAGTACTTTTGACTGAGTAAGGCTAAGGGCCTAGTTGTGAGGAAACACTGATACTGATATGAGGCCGAGAGCCTGAGATATGTACGCCACAAGGTGGCTTGTTGATATTGTTTATGCGGCCGAGTGCCTGAGATATATATACGCCACGAGGTGGCTTGATTGATATGAGGCTGAAGGCCTAGATTTGATGCCACGAGATGGCTTGATATTGCGCTTGGGCCATAAGGGGCCCCTCCCGGNGCCCGAGGGGCAAACTTCTATGTGTTTATTTTATCATAACTGTCTGTTAATTACCTGTTTATTTGCTGTAGAAGTACTTTATTTTGTTTTAATTGGTTTACTGCTTATAAATTACCTATTTAATTGCTTCATTATAGAATACCTTGTGTATATGTGTTTTCTTACTTTCAGTCATTATTTATCTTTATTATTCGCTGAGTTAGAGTACTCACTTTAATCCCTGCACCTTGTGTGCAGATTAAGGCGTAGCAGGTACCGCTCCTGAGTGCTGATTCCTCTAGTTCCAGGCGGTTTTTCAGAGTCTACGAGGTAGTTGTTGACGTCCGCAGCCCCGTGTCTCTACTTCTCTATCATTTCTATTTCCTATCAAACACTTGTAGTAGTTTATGACTTTAGCAGACTAGTATTATAGTTTAGAGATGCTCGTGACTTGTGACACCTCAGTTAGGGCTGTGTCGGGTTGGACTTTCCGCATTGTTATCGATATTTCCGCTATTTAGTATTGTTTAAATCATGTTTAGACTATTTTTATGTTGATTAAGTGCTTTAAAAGTTGAGTTGGGTTGAACTGGCCGACCTTGTCTTCACGAGAGGCGCCATCACAATCGGGTTCGGGGTTAGGGTCGTGACATGTAGACTCTCTAGGATAGAATTGCTCTGATAACAAGTTTGTGACGCCCAATACTTGAAGAGGCATGGCCGGCACTCGGTGCCATACTCGGCTCGAGTGTACCACTCTGTAACTGTGAACTCTGGAGGGGTAACCCTCAACATAGGCCAATGAGGCAATATTTTGAATCATCTGAAATAACGTCTACAACCAACAATACCAAACTAAACATCTACATAGGACTGGTAAAACGACAAAACTGATATAAAAATGTACAGGACTCGTCTACAAGCCTCTAGGGATAACTGAATTGTATCATGGTCGGAACAGGGCCCGACCTACCCATCAAACCTGTATATATAAAATGGACTCCAAGGTATAGACCTGGTAACTCCATGAAAGTGGAGCTTACCAACCAAGCTGATGTTTGACTTTGCCTACTGGGAAGGTCTATCCAGCTATCTATCAGGACCTGCAGGCATGAAATGCAGCGTCCCCAACAAAAAGAAAAGTCAGTAAGAAATAATGTATCGAGTATGTAAGGCAACAGAATAACTGAAAGCTGAAACTAAACTGATAATATAATAACTGAAAGCACCTGGGCATCAAATATAATTTGAAGATATGCTTACCTTGATACTGACTCATCTTTCTTAATAAAGTAAGTAAAATAGCTGTCCGGCCCTATAAGGCTCGGTATTTGTAACTGCTCTGCCATAGTAGGCTCACTCGTAGGTGCTCGGCCATACTAGGCTCTGTATCTCGGCTAACTGGGCTCGCTCATAGGTGCTCGACCACAATAGGCTCGGTATATAACTTACCATTTGATCGGAGGTTTTCCAATAGGGGTCTGCCCATCGATTATAGCTCGATGGTGGTGAAAATACTATAATACTGTATATATATAAACTCTCTGCTCTCTTGGCTGAAAAAAGACAAAACTAAACTGAATATGAAGTCCCGATAAGGGAGATTACTGTAGCATATGAGACTAGGATAATGTACATAAATTTAGGAATAAGAACTCTCTTTATGCCTCGTTATCAAATGCATATAGTTAGGAGATCATGCCAAAATGAAGGAAAGGTTTAGACTTAACATACCTTACAACAATATTTCCAATAACCAAGTTTAACTCGCCTATTCGCACCTTAATCTACAATAACAATAATAATACTATCATTAAGTTATGAAAGGTAGAACTATCGCACAACGAACGACAAGCTTATTTTGTATAAAAATGGACAGCATCTCCCTTATAATCCTTACTTCCTCCAAATTCAAGATAATACCAATAACTCAAGAACAAAACAATATCAACATATATACATTATTTTCCAATCTTATATACACCACAAAATACTATAAAATAGACCAACAGACACCGGTCTCTTCATACACAAAACGACCATCGTAGTAGTGTTAAATAGTCCGAAAATATTACGACGAACAACCAGCCCTCCATCCTGCATTTATGTGGTGTTTATCCACACCCTTCCTCCTCCAAAACTCCAGAATACAGTAGTAAAACACACAATCCAACAACAACACAAAACAGTCCACAAAATAGTCCGCTACAAGTGAATAACTCGAACTCACGGCTTCCGATCACCGCCCTGTGAGTTCTTACAATTATATAACGACTTTCCATACATCTCCAGCGGAAAAATTGGATGAAATATAGCAGTAAAATCACCTTATTTGTTGAATAACTCAGATCCTATCTTGGTTCTTCAAACTCTAGGTTTTACCTCCAACTAGAACTTGAAAACGAGAGAAAATCAATTAGGGTTTGTGGACAATTTTTGGGAGGATGTTTGCTGGGGTTTAGGCCTGGTTATTGTGTTATGTAATTGAGTGTTATATTGCAGGAGATAAGCCCTTAAATGTACTTTTTGTCCGACCCGAAATAGCCCCTTTTTGGACTCTCATTTAAGCAAGTAGGTGACACACCTACTTGTCACCTAGCAGTCTGCGCAGTCTCGCAAAAATGCATATATCTCTCTACTCCGATGTCGTATTGACAAACGATTTAATGAGTTAGAAAATAGACTTATAGATCTTCAATTTGGTAGATACATAATCCCTAATTCCAAGTATATTGGAAGAAAAGCTCCGCTATATCTGACCTAAGTTTCAACATATTTATGAATGGAACTTGTGATGACCTTTTCCAACTTGTGACGACAACTATTATACGTCTAAAATAACTCATAACATAATCTCCTTATAATGTGAAGCACCATAGTCTCACCCCAAAAGTACATGTTATAACATTCCAACTTCTCGACTTTCGACGAAACTTATTTTCTTCAATTCATTTAGCTTCTAAGCCTTCAAACCCTCTTGGTACTTGGTATTCATGATCTTAAATATTTGTAACCTCCACGTTAACATGATTAACTAACTTCCTAAACTTTTCAAAGATAATTTTATTTATGAGCTTACATCAATTGACTTACGACGTACTCTTACATACGAAAACATGAGGTGAAATACTGACAAAAAATAATATTTTTTAACATAAACTGAACCCCATTAATGAGCCAATTTTACCAAATGGTCAATTACTTACATGTAATAAAAACATGCATATATTACGACTTCATATTATATACACCCTATGTTAACATGGTATATACGAACATAGCAGGATACAGCACATCATAAAGACCTCCAAGAAACTAGATAAAGGTGACACGAAAATCTGAAATACCACACGAAGTTGGATCAATCACATAGTAGCATTCAGAGCAAAAACAGTGAAGTAGCAGGTGCAAGCCTCTACCAGCAATTATCTTAATGCAGATGCAAACTACTACAAATGTTCTTCGTATATATAGTAATACCTGAATTCAAAAACTACCTAAATCTAATATTTTATTGAATAGACCTATCAAAATCATAATTAGAGGACTATAGTAAGATACATGCAGATCCATGGAATCAACAATAATAACTAACGTACTGATTTAAATGCCTACCTATTTAGCCAAGGCAAATAACTGGGTGAGATGGATAACATACTTCATCATGCGTTAACTGATCAAACAATTGACGCAGTCGAGACACAGACAGCCTGGAGGAGTCATTCTCGTTCAGTTTTCTCAGTTGATCTAACCATCTTAGCACCAAGGGAAACGTTGCAGATGGCATCCCATTAGTGTCTATATTGAGATTTCTAACAACCTTTGGAATGTGCTCCAATATAAATATCTAGGAGAATACATAAAAGAAAAGATTTAATTCAATATCATATAAGAAGAGAACAAGACTAGTTAATTGTATTGTCATTACCATAAAAAAAAAAAAAGGCTGCGTCCAGAAAGAGTTATTCTTCTGTCATTTTTTGGCACTTTCTAGACCCTTGTGGAGGTACGCTAACATGGCTGCTCCCCATGCATAGTCTTCAATTTTATCAACATCATCCAAGAGAGCCAGAAAATATCCAGGAACGGCAAATTTGGTTCTAGGAGCTATTACAGACACTATTATGTACAGTACATACACTCTGATATATTGACTATTTAGACAATCAGAGTTCCCATATTTTCTCCCAAGGGACCTAAGACAAATCCCTCCAGTTTTTAAGTCTATACCTTTTCCGTTTGTTACTCCTAAATATTCTTTTGTCACTCCTAAATATTTTTCATCAAACTTTTCATCTTTTCCATCTTGTCCAATAACCGATTTACCATCTATAGGCAACCCAGATATCTTCAGTATATCTTCTAAGCCGAAAAAGAAGTCCAAACCATTAAACAGAAAACATCTTTTATCAGCGTCATAGAAATGAACCAACGCACTTATCAGTTTGGTTAGATGCTCATGTCGCGAAGGTCTTAAATTAAAAATCTTAGCTAAATTTTCAAAACCGATTCCTTGTAACCGGTCGACAAGGACAACATTAGACACTTCCCACAAGGATAAATTCTCTACATGATCTACAATCTTGAGGACATTCCAGCTGCATGCATGAAAAGTCATAATGAAACATCAATTCAAAATCATAAAATTACAGGTGTATTTGGTATGATGCAAGACATTTTCCATTGAAAATGCTTTCCTGAAAAATGTTTTCCATGGAATTTAGGGTGTTTAGTTAATGAGTAGAAAATATTTTCAATAACAATATATATACTCCCTCCATTCCAATTTATTAGACACCCTTTCCTTATTAGTCTATTTAAAAGAATGACACATTTCTATATTTTGAAAACACTTTAAATTTAAATTTTTTATTTTACTCATTTTTCCCTTAATGAGAAGCTTTTATAGCCACACAAATGTTTTCGCGTGGGCCCGAAACCCCGTATTCGGATTGCCTAAAATTTATCCAAACCATCAAAAATGACCTAAGGAACATTGGTTATAGCCCCGCCATGACCGTTCCTCGTTTTTGGCGTTTTAGAGCCATTAAACGAGAATTCAGCCCGACTCCCACATTTTCGTGTGCTATAGCACACGCCTTCCGCGTGGGCCAGGACTCCCGGACCCCGACTTCCTAAAATTTATTAAGAACATCGAAAACGATCTAAGGATTAGTGGTCATCGCCTCGCCATGAATGTTCCTCATTTTTGGCATTTTATGGTCATAAAAGGAGAATTCGGCCCGATTCACATATTTTCGTATTATAACCCATGCCTTCCGCTTGTGACTGGGCCCCCGGACCCAGATCACCTAATATTTTTCTGGACCATCCAAAATGACCTAAGGAACACACCGCCCCCGCCATGACCATTCTTCATTTATTGGCGTTTTAGGGCTATTCCCATATTTTCCTGTGTTATACCTCATGCCTTCCGCATGGGCCCATATCACCGGACCTGGACCACCTAAAAATTTCTGGACCATAAAAAATGACTTAAGAAACATTAGTCACTGATCCGCTATGGCCGTTCTTCATTTTTTAGCATCGTCTAGGCGCCTCAGGGAAATGTATAGTCCTGCGGGAGTCCGTTCACCTTGAAGTGGAACTTTTAGGGCCATGAAATAAGAATTGGATCCGATTCCCATATTTCTATGTGGTATAGCCCACGCCTTCCATGTGGGCCTGGGACCCAGACCTGGACCGCATAAAATTTTTCTGGACCAAACAAAAAATGACCTAAGGAACATTAGTCAACGCCCCTCCATGGTCGTTCCTCTTTTTTTGGCAATTTAGGGCCATAAAATGAGATTCGATCCAATTCCCATATTTTTATGTGGTATAGCCCACGACTTTCGCGTGGGCCCGAACCCCTGGACCCGGACCACATAAAATCTATCCGGACTATCAAAAATGACCTAAGAAATATCGGTCACATCTCCGCCATGACCGTTCCACATTTGTTTTGCGTTATAAGGCTGTAATACGAGAATTCGGCCCGATTCTCATATTTTTCGTGTGCTATATCCCACGTCTTCCGCGTGGCCACGGGCCACAGACTCGGACCGCTTAAAATTTGTCCATACTATTGAAAATGACCTAAGGAACATTGGTTACCACCCCGCCATGATCTTTCCTCATTTTTTGGCGTTTTAGAGCCATAAAACGAGAATTCGGCCTGATTCTCATATTTTCGTATGTTATAGCACACGCCTTCTGCGTGGGCTCGGGTCCTCTGATCCAGACAACCTAAAATTTATCCAAACCATCGAAAATGACATAAGGAATATTGGTCACTGCCCCGCTATGACCGTTCCTCATTTTTGGCTCATTTTTGGCGTTTTAGGGCCATAAAATGACAATTCGGCCCGATTCCCATATTTTCTCATGGCCCACGCCTTTCGGCATATGCCCGAGCCCTCGCTACCCGGACTGCCTAAAAATTTTTCGTATCATCAAAAACAACCTTAGGAACATCGGTCACTACCTTGCCATGGTCGTTCCTTGATTTTTGGCATTTTAGAGCCATAAAATGAGAATTTGGCTTGATTCTCATATTTTCGTGTGCTATAGCCCACGCCTTCCATGTGGGCCAAAGCACCGGATCCGGACCGCATAAAATATCTTCGAACAATCAAAAATGACCTAAGGAACATTGATCACTACCCCTCCATGACCGTTCCTCATTTCTTTGGTATTTTAGGGCCAAAAAACAAGAATTCGGCCTCGTTCCTATAATTTTGGGTGCTATAGTCCACACTTTCCGCGTGGGCCCCACCTTCGGATACGAACAACCTAAAATTTATTCGGACCATAAAAAATGACCTAAGAAAAATTGGTCCCCATCCCTCCATGACTGTTCCGCATTATTTGGTGTTATAGGGCCGTAAAACGAGAATTCGGCCCGATTCCCATATTTTTGAATGCTATACCCCATGCTTTCCGCGTGGGCCGGGGCCCTCAAACCACCTAAAATTTATCCTGACCATTAGAAATGACCTAAGGAACATTGGTCACCACCCCTCCATGATCGTTCCTCATGTGTTGGTGTTTTAGGGCCATAAAATGAGAATTCGGACAAATTCCCATATTTACGTGTGCTATAGCCCATGCCTTCCGCGTGGGCCCTGGCCTTGGGCCCAGACAACCTAAGATTTATCTAAATCATTGAAAATGACCTGAGGAATATTGGTCACCGCCCCACCATAATCGTTCCTCGTTTTTGGCGTTTTAGGGCCATAAAATGAGGATTTGGCCCGATTCCTATATTTTCGTATGCTATACCCACACCTTCCATGTGGGCCTGGGCCCCCGGACCCAGACCCTCTAAAATTTATCAGGACCATTAAAAATAACCTAAGGAATATCGATCATTGCCCCTCCATGATCATTCCTCATTTTTTGGCATTTTAGGACCATAAAATAATAATTCGGCCCAATTCCTATATTTTTGTGTGCTATAGCCCACACCTTCTGCGTGGACCCCACCTTCAGACCCGGACAACCTAAAATTTATCCAAACCATAAACAATGACCTAAGGAATATTGGTCCCCATCCCTCCATAACTGTTCCTCATTTTTTGGATTTTTAGGCCATAAAACGAAAATTCCAATATTTCTATGTGCTATGGCCCACGCCTTCTGTGTGGGCCCGTGCCCCTAACTTGAACTGCCTAAAATTTATTTACATCATCTAAAATGACATAAGGAACATTGGTCACCGCCCCACCATAATCGTTCCTCGTTTTTGGCGTTTTAGGGCCATAAAACGAGGATTTGGCCCGATTCCTATATTTTCGTATGTTATACCCACACCTTCCATGTGGGCCTGGGCCCCCGGACCTAGACCCTCTAAAATTTATCAGGACCATTAAAAATGACCTAAGGAATATCGATCATTGCCCCTCCATGATCGTTCCTCATTTTTTGGCATTTTAGGATCATAAAATAATAATTCGGCCCAATTCCTATATTTTTGCGTGCTATAGCCCACACCTTCCACGTGGACCCCACCTTCAGACCCGGACAACCTAAAATTTATCCAAACCATAAACAATGACCTAAGGAATATTGGTCCCCATCCCTCTATAACTGTTCCTCATTTTTTGGATTTTTAGACCATAAAACGAGAATTCCAATATTTCTATGTGATATGGCCTACGCCTTCTGTGTGGGCCCGTGCCCCTGACTTGAACTGCCTAAAATTTATTTACATCATCTAAAATGACATAAGGAACATTGGTCACCGCCCATCCCTGACAGTTCCTTATGTTTCAGCGTTTTAGGGCCATAAAACGAGAATTCTCCCCGATTCTCATAATTTCGTGTGTTATAGCCCACACCTTCCGTGTGGGCCCGGTCCCCCACATCCGAACCGCCTAAAATTTATCCAGAGCATTGAAAATAAATATGGAACATTGGTCACAGCCCCGCCATGGACGTTCCTCATTTTTGGCGTTTTAGAGCCATAAAATATGAATCCGGCCCGATTCTCACATTTTCGTGTACTATAGCCCACGCCTTCTACGTGGGCTCAGACCCCTGGACCCGAACTTCCTAAAATTTATTCAGACCAAGGCTCAGCTCTTAAAACTGAGTGACGAGAATCTATCTTCAGAAACCTGCAAATTTTCCCTTTAAATCAAAAACAAACTAAGGATCATTGGTCACCGCCTCGCCATGATTGTTCCTCATTTTTTGGAATTTTAGGGCCATAAAAGGAGAATTTGACCCGATTCGCACATTTTCGTGCTATAGCCCACACCTTCCTCTTGTGGTCGGCTCCAGGACCCAGACCACCAAATATTTTTTTGGACCATCCATAATGACCTAAGGAACACACCGCCC